ACCTTGCTAGCTCTGCTAATGTATACTCGAAAAAGGTAGATCGCGAAAGATCAAAGACCATGAATCAAATGAATATTGCTTTTTTCCAATTAATTCTAAAATAAGAATTAGCAGTGATTAGAAATGATTTACTATAATTTAGCACGACTCTAGCACGACTCTAGCGCGACTCAAGCATGAGTGTATCATTTTTCATATAACTATATAGAAAAAATTCTAGCGCGACTCAACCACATTTAAATCTATATATTTTTGCATACAAACTCGTTCCATACAACACAAAAACCCCCAGTGTAGATAATATATCGATACCTAATATATTTTTACACATCCACTCTAACTTCAAATACGGCAGGATCGGTCAACTCAATAATATGAGTGGCAGATAGAATGTGGAATACACGGAGTACGTTTTATCTGAAATATATATCTACCTCAATTTCAACACTGGCTGGATACGTGCATCTCTACAGAGTGGCGAGTATGATATATACTATATACTATGTTCTATATATAAAAAAATAGCGAAGAAATATTATTATTTGATTGAACTTAGACATCTTTTTTATATGAAATCGAAGAAAAAAGTCTCTATTACAGGAAATGGAAGATAAGTTATTACGCATTTGATGACTTGATCTCTTTTTCCAGATCTAGAGGATTCATATATAGACGATCAAACAAGGCATGTAACATGCCCGCAGTTAAAAGGAATCAACGTAAGAAGGAACAAATATATTTTATGACCAGTTTTATTGATAAAAACGTGCAAATAACAGTTGTGAAATTTATTTACATTTGTGTCCGAGAGGGAATAGAAAACTGGTTTACAATAGTATCTATTTGTGATACAGACAGTTCCGAAATTGAGTTCGCGCTATAAGATATCAACTTAATTTTATCAACGCCTACACCTTTGAATAACTTGTAAACAATCCGAGCTTTTTGGGTTTTTTGGCGTAGATTAGCGAGTGTGATATCGGGAAGATGTTCCAAAACTTCTTTATAGACGCGGGATCTTACCGTTTTTTCAGTAATTCTGTTGGAGGATAGTATTTCATTAACTCTGTTTTCGTGCTTTTCCCCATAACGATACCAGCATAAAATCTCCTTCTGGGTCGCATTAGAAGCATGCATCTCCGCACGACATGCTTTTCGATATAACCGGGCCATTAATACTCCAGCCGATTCTGTAGCTTCGGTTTGGTCATGTTCTTCTTCATTAACATCGTTCATTACACCTTCAACCGGCATACCCAATTCCTGAATTATATTATCCACTCTTCTCTGAGCACGGGTAATTCTTGAAGCTGAACGTGTTTGCGATAGAGATTTAGTCCGGGTGGGCAATTGATATACCTTTTCCACGAAGCGAGGGATCTTCTTCCGACGTTTCTTCGGATGTACCATCTGATGTTTCTTCTACAGTAGAGCTGATTTGTAGGTCGGTTTCTAATATATTAGCTACCTCTGAACTTTGACTTGGTTCGATGTAACATAGCGGACAGCGAGATTCGTGCTCGATGATGCAATCTTGGTGGAAAAAATGTTTACAAGTTAGTATCGTGATTGGCTGTGTGAGTTGTGGGAAGATTTCATTTTGGCATATAAAACAAATATCGCGTTCTTGAAAATTGATATGAGATGGGGTTTGAGAGGAAGGTGTTTTGTGGTAAATAATTTTATAGGCGAATTTTTTTAAAGTTTCCATTTTTATGAAATCTGCTCACTCATGCCTTACATTGCTTGTTTTTATAGATTAAATCCTTTACCGCAGTATGAGTAAAAGGTAATTTAGACTATCTACAAATCAATGATATAGTGTCTGAAATTATCAGTATAACCGGTAATTACCAATTGTTTGCAATGCGTTCATCGTTATGGAGGTCAATAACGATAGTCTCACACATCGTTTACGAAATGATTTAATTTAATGTGGGTAATTTAATGATTTAATTTAATGTCAGTAATTTAATGATTAATTTTTACAGCCGATCATATTAACAATTTAATGATAAATTCCTAATTCTTACAGTCTGTTAGAGAAAGAAATTACGCTCTGAAATCGAAGAAAAAAGTTTCAATTACAGGAAACGGAAGATAAGTCCCACTAAAAAATCTCGATCATAATTTATTTTCTTTATTACGCTGTTAATGATTTGATTTCTTTTTCCAGATCTAGAGGATTCATCCATCCGACTCTGATGGACATAGGATCAGAGATTGGTACAGTGGTGTCGAAGACAATGAATTCACGATTTCGCAAATAGTTATTGATAACTCTAGAAGCTTTGCGTGGATCTTTTTCTATGTATTGTCTTATAATTCGTGCAATATCTTCTGTAGACCCCCCACCATCAAATATTACAAGATGGGTTGAATTTTCACGAAGGATTTTTGGCATTTGAGTGAATTTATGTGAAATATATATTGCGGAAATATTGCTATGGCGACCTCTGGTAAAAAATGGGATGATACGATTTTGAATTGACTGGGGTTCAGTACACACATCTTCAAAAATTAAAACAGTCTGTCTTTTTGGATTTTTAAATTGTTTCAGATCTGGGATTTTATCAGGGGTAATTGCAGTAAATGTAACGTCCTCATAGTACGGCTTGGAAGGATCTGCTATTTTCTTATAGAAATTTCGAAGTAATCGATATTTGGGTTCATTGGGATGGCGAGTTACTAATACAATATCATTGCAACGTATATGACGCTCGCCAATTTTCTCTGATTTTTCTTTGAGATCATAGTATTTATCTCCGGAAAATAGATCTACTGCCATATTGGTTTTACCACTGTTTGATCTTCCAAAAACCCCCATATAGAATGGCCACTTTGGGGCATCTTCATCGTCTAAAGATTTTTTTGGTGGTTTAACTTCATCGATATGATATATATAATAGTACTTCATTCTGATATCAATTCAACTATATCTTTACGATTTTTTTTTCTTTCTAATATACATAACTATAGATATGTCGAATCTTGATGAAGCTCAAATTTATGTCGAAAAACATGAAGGAAAATGTCACATACAAACTGGTCCTACAACGTTTGAACTAAATCCAGGTACGTGATAATAAATTATATGAAGAACGATTTTTAATTCTTCATCAGCACTGATTATAATAGTAGGTACACTCATTGCCATGATCACGAAATGTTATAATTGATACTATAAACCAAGGCTGAATTTTTTGTTATGAGTTTCAATTTCGATCCCGCCTATTTAGCATTGCTGAAAAGTAATCAGGAGTTGAGGAAGGAACTTAATGCGGAGGTAAGTATAAATTGTCAGAACGAGAAAAAAATCTGCATTCTCATAAAAGAACTAGAACAATGTAGTAGGTCCATTTCATTTCAGGATACCACAATCATAGCCTACAAAAAGGAGATTCAGGAACTCAAATCCCAAGTATCCAATTTGCAAAAACGCCTCAGACTAGCTCTAAAGGATGCCGATAAAAAAGAGGGATTTCTACTCAATCGCGAGCAACAGTTGACTATACTTGAAGAGGAAGTGATCAAGTTAAAAAATAGAATCCGAAAAATTACATCTCGGAAGTATAATAAACCTGTA